ATTTATGTAGTTAAATAACTTAGATATCATAATCATACACCAAATGAAGTTCTTTCCTTTTTCTTCCCTTAGCATGCATCAAAGTCACATGAAATTACCTTAATACTTAAGAAAAAGTATTTTTCCAGATGACTTTTATTTTGTCAATGTCTCTTTTTAAAAGGGGACATCTATCATTGGCTTCACAACACACAGGCTATGCATCCATGCATAGCAGTTATTGCAATTTATAGGACACATAGATAACTGAAGAATTATCAATGCAACATAATTGGATTAGTAGAAGAGGATTGTTGTTTCTGATATCAAATAACAGGCTTAAAGAACACCAACAGAACAAAGCAAAAAAAAAAAAAAAAGAAAAACTCAACACCTAATATATAAATTATGGGGTGAAAATTTTTATTCATTTCCAAAATAAATGATTTGATGCAATCCACNAAAAAAAAAAAAAAAAGAAAAACTCAACACCTAAGCATGTACTAACTCTTTCCTGATTTTCTAATTGCATGCCTTTGAATTTGAATGTGTATTGCATATCTTATTTGGATTATTATCATATTATAGCCACTACATATTTATAAATAATGTCTCAGATGTCAATTTTCTTATTCATAATACAGAGATGAGTGGACTTCCCTAACCCAGTAAGGATTTATGCCTTAATGTTTACATGTGGATTGCATCAAATCATTTATTTTGGAAATGAATAAAAATTTTCACCCCATAATTTATATATTCCTAGTTTAGTCTTAAAATTTTAGGAATTTTCTTAGTCTGTGGAGATATTTCTTTTTTGTTGTTGTTTTTCTGTGTATGTCTTTGTAGTAACTTTGAGGACATGTTGATACAAGATACACACATTACCCTGAAGTGGGTGATATTTGGTTCACTTTAACTTCAAAAGGAAAAAGTGTTATACTTCATAAAACCCTCTTAATCTCTGATTTCAATTATTCTGACTCTAACTCAAGGGATTCTGTTCAATGATAAGATTAGACCTTCTTATCTACAATACAGAATTTATAGCCACTCTAAACCATCTTTGTTTAGGTAACTAATTTGAAACAACTATGTTTAATTATAACATATTTTGTGTTTTTAGTTCATTTTTATTATTACTAGGGACCATAATGTGTTTTACAGTCAAAGTAATATTTAGAGAACCATATTGAATCTATACACATTGGAATAATTAGATAGCAGATATATCTTATCATATCACAAAATATCAAAATAATAGGCATCATATTTTTAACTGAACAGAGGTGATGTCATTTAAAATTTTATGGTCAAAATTTTCTTATTGTGTAACATAAAATTGCTATATTTTTGTACTTCATGTGTAAGACTGTCAGTTTGCAATGATAATCAATTACAAAATTTATTGCCTTTTCTTCCCAAGTTTCTTTTATCTGTAAATTTTTTATATATTTGAATCAAACCATAACTAGTATATGCTAATATCACAGATTTAGGTTGTGATTCAAGCAGCGTGGATGTCACTTACCCTTTACTGCTGCAATAAGGTAAGGGGAGGGGAAGAAAGATGTCAGACTCTATCATTGAAGCATAGCATTGCATTCATTTCACTTGATCTAATGGCTCCCAAATACAAAAATATTTAGAATCCATTATTCTTTTTAGAATTTCATTCTTATTTTTTAGAACAAGAATGCTATCTAAAGAGATTTATATTTATGTATATAATATTTACAAATGTTTGTATTTTTTATTCTTTAAGGTTTCATTTTTTAGGCAGTTTAAATCTTTAATGCTCCTCCAAGAGATTTATATTGAAGATGTTTAGCATAGCATTAAGAACTCAATGAATTTTAAGAGATAAATAAAAATTTTGTGGACATAATAACATTTGTTTAAGCTACTAGTCTATCTGCAATATGACACAATTTTCAAACACAATAATGAGAGAGGAGGTTATGGCACTGACGTGTTTAATGCAAACTAGTAGAAAATGTGGACAATTGTATAATATCATAATCAATAATTCTAGAAATACAATAGGAACAAATTATTTACTGTTGTATAGATGAGCTTGAGAAGAGCTAGAGAATAAATTGGAGCTCTTCTGCAGAGATTCTGTTTTCTCTTGGGAATGAGGCTAAGTGTTTAAACAGAAAATGCAATAAGTTTTGTTTATGCTCATCAACATGTTTGTATTTTCCATTGGTGCATTAATATTAATGCTGTAATCATCTCACATAAGTTTCATAGATAATAGCATTAGAAAATAAAAAATTAAATGCCTCATCTCCGTATGTGTTTCACATTTGATTGAAAAGTTACTGCATACATTACTCTTAGATATTAAGACAGATTATATAATCTATAAGATTATAGACAGGCAAGATAACTCACACAGTAAATACACTTGCTACACAACTGTGATGACTTAAATGGTTAGCATTTAAGACACCATAAGATTACGTAGAGCAAATTTAATATGTTAAATCTACTAAAAAAGGTTACTAACTTCTTCACATGTCTATGAGAATTGATTTCATTACCATATTAAATGTTAAAAAAACATTTCTATGGAGTTTATCAAAATTTTCTTCAAGAACTCTCAGGCATATTTAAAAGATACAATATGTGAGGATTGCTTGTGTTTTTATTAGATTTATTTCTAGATATTTGGTGTTAACATGTTCATATATTTAATGTCATTTGTATTTAATTTTTTCATTAAAAATTCAATTGCAATTTTCTTATAAGGATACATATAATTAAACAGAAATAGAGTTAACCATTTGACCTATGAAGACTAGCAAATGTAAAGCTTTTGGTGATGTGCCAATATTAGACAAAGCATCTTCAAACAGTGTAAAAACAAGTAGAAAATACATCACAGCTTAATGATATGTGGGTTGATTCAAGTTTGAAAAATTGAAGTAAGAAAAAGAAGATTAGAATTTTTAGTGCAGACACTACTGTTCTTTGCTCAATATGTATTTGAACAGCATCCAAAAACATTGTGACTATGTAATATCTGAACAATATAATGTAAACAGTAAACACCCAAAATACAGACATGCAAGGCTGAAAAATAGGCGGTGTGTTATTTGGGGGAAGTATGGTGTTTAAGAAGTTTTCCTTATATTTTTGAAAAGTTTGAAAATCAGAAGCTATATTAAAGAAACAGAAAGAAAAAAATAATTTTACATAACATAAAATACAAAAATATAACTTGGAATATCAGCATAGCTATGTAAGATAATTTTTGATTAATAAAATTGGAATTCTACTGTCAAATTCTACTTCCAATTTCACTACTGTCAATTTGTGAAATCTGACACACTCAATAGTAGTGTCAAGTGAGTTTCATCTTGTGGAGCAGAAAATGGTTCAATACTCCCATGATGTTCATGTTACATTGTGGCAGTGAGAATGGTGTCTGTCAGAAGTTATTATGGCTCACAGGGTTCTCAGCTGGTTGGGATTGTTGAGTGTTTTTCTTCAATAGTGCCCAGAGTAGCTTTCAACATTATAAAAGCTAGTATCTAGGAATGAAACTTCCAGGCCAGTAACATCTTGATATCTCTATTCTCTGTTGCCAAGTACAAGGTTCCTTCAGCACCAAGGTTTTTCCATTGTGCTCTAGAGTGTAACGAATTCATCTGTGTCCTTTCTTAGAGGTTGGTGGTACCATTCTGACTAACAACTCGAAAAGAGGGAATCAATTAACCTAAGATGATGGATGAATATAAAGGAACAATTTCCTCCAGACACAATAAGATAGGTGCACTTATGAATGCATAGTGCTTCCATAACATATGCAAGCCTGTGCAAGCTCAATCCAGACCAAATCTCTTTATTAAGTTGGGAGGTAGGTGTGAAGTTCCTTCTCTATCTGAGAAGTCACTGTCAATTGATGGCTTCTCATAGAGGGAGACACATTTTCTTGAAAAATGTTGCCCCTAGTAAGTCAACCATACACCTGTGGAACAACACATTTCTAACAATACTGGGCAGCACAAACTGGGCATTATGGGTGAAGGAAGACATAAAAGGGACTGGATCTTTGATGATTTCAAAGATCTATATGTATTATAAGAAATTCTTGATAAACAAATAAAGCATTTAGAAAAAAACTTAGACAATAATCCCTGCAATGCTCTACTTTATAATTTCAGAGATCAATAAATATGATGATAACCTGACACATTTCAAGATAAGAAAACCTTACAAAAGTACAAAACTTGTCCATTTATAACATCTATTGAATGAAGAACAACACATGAAATATTCTCAATAGACTAGTACGTAATCCTAGGAGCACCATGAATCTAGTACATAATCCTAGGAGCACCATGTATCTAGTACGTAATCCGAGGAGCACCGTGCATCCAATATCTTATATAACGGTTGCTACAGATGTCATTTCATTTTCACATATGGAAATTTAAATACTTTAAGTATCTTAAAAATTAAAAACAATGGAGATTTTTGAAAAAGAGCTCCATCTATCCTTTGATAATATTAGATTTTGGATAATAGTTCACTGTCTTTAGGGAAATTTGCTTCCTCAAGAGTGTCTGTCACTTTTCCTCACTGATACTCAAATTTTCAGTTATAAGACATTGATTTGAAATTACAATATTATCAAAGTTTAAACATGGTGAAAATACTTTACATGAAAGCTATTCTTACTTTTTAAAGGATAAGGCTATAATTGATAATAAAAGATAAAGATCTAAATGATACATTAAGGTAATTATATAGAGAACAAAAGTATACTTAGGTAGAAATAATTTATATGTTGACATTATGTATATATATATATATACATATATGCATATTCTTGTGTTATTTTGAAAATTATTACTTTTGGCAGCCTTGCTGCCCCTACAGCTAGCTATGTTGAACAGGCTGGCCTTGAACTAACAGAAGTTTGCCTGCTTCTGCCTACCTAGTGCTTGGTTAAAAACTTAAGCTAGCACGACCTGGTTCAAGCAATCCTTTACTCTTTCAGGATCTGAATGGAGAACATGGCGGCAAGAAACCATTGCACAGTGACTGAGTTCTTGGTGGGGCTCTCAGAGAAACCAGAACTCCAGATGCCCCTCTTCCTCCTCTTCACTGTAATCTATTTGGTTACTGTAGCAGGGAATCTGGGCATGATCTCCCTGATTGGGCTCAGTTCCCACCTGCACAACCCCATGTATTATTTCCTCAGCAGTCTGTCCTTCATTGACTTCTGTCAATCCACGGTTGTTACCCCTAAAATGCTGGTGAGCTTTGTGACAGAGAAGAACCTCATCTCCTACTGTGAATGCATGACTCAGCTCTATTTCTTTAGCTTGTTTGGCATCGCAGAATGTTTCACATTAGCTGCAATGGCATATGACCGCTATGTGGCTGTCTGTAGCCCTTTTTTTTTTTTTTACAATATAACCATGTCCTATCAGTTTACTAGTTCCTTGATTTTAGGAGTGTATATTTTTAGTGTGCTCAGTGCATCAGTTCTCACGGGCTTCATGATAAGGGTTTGTTTTTGCAAATTAGATACGATTAACCACTATTTCTGTGACTTTCTTCCCCTCTTGAAGCTTTCATGCTCTAATACCTATATCAATGAATTGTTGATTCTAATTTTTGGTACATTTAATATTTTTGTCCCAATTCTCACCATTATTACTTCCTACATCTCCATTACTGCCAGCATCCTCAGGATTAAAACCACAGAAGGCAGGTTCAAAGCCTTCAGCACCTGTAGCTCCCACATCTCTGCTGTTGCTCTCTACTTTGGTTCTGCTGCATTCATGTACTTACAGCCATCTTCAATGAGTTCGATGTACCAAGGGAAAGTGTCATCCGTGTTTTATACTATAGTTGTTCCCATGCTGAACCCATTGATCTACAGCCTAAGAAATAAGGATGTCAGTGTTGCCTTGAAAAAAATACTTCAAAGAAAAAAATTAATGTTTTAGAAATAATGTGAAGGTTATTTATTAGATAAAACATCCACAAATACAAAGTTTGAATTGATTTGTTTTAATCTAGTTGCAAGAATTATTATTCATTTGCTAGAATACTTTGACAAGTTTTATAAATATAACTTTCAAATTCAAGTTTATATCCATATATTATTTCTCCTGTTTTAAAGATTAAATAATGTAAACCAATATTAAAAGATTACATGAATTTGTATGCCCATAATTTATAGCCCATCATGCTATATATTTTTTGTCTTTGATAAATATTACTTTAAAAATATCAAACTTCATTCTCAATTCCAAAACCTGATACATCTTTTATTTTTAATTCATTTTTGTAAATTTCATATGTAAGTGCTGTAATTACATCTTTCACCCCATCTCCCTCTAAACACTCATGTGACTCCCTGTTTTCTGTCAAATGAATGACATCCTTACCTTGAATTTGTGTGTGTGTTTGTGTGTGTGTTAATCATATTTGTTAGGTGGTTTTTCCAAAAGAAAACTGATTCTATTCTTCGTCATCAATAATTGTCTATAGCTTTCATCTAGGATTAAAGTCCCTGAGATTTTTCATCTTGTACATTGTTGTGCCAACTAGCATCAATTTCAGCTATTGTTTGGCAAACTATATTGTTGAGATTCATGGTGCCATTTTTCTGCCATTCATAGAAAACACAGTCTCACAACATCCTTACTTGTCCTCTGACTCTTAGAACTTAGAACATTCTTTCTTTTTCCTCCAAATGTTCCCTGAGTCTTAGGTGAAGGTTTTGTATTCTAGATGGATCCACTGTGGCTCTTCTCTGCAGCACCAGTTGTTTCCTCTATTAGACCAGCTATGGATTTCTGTAATGGTTTCCATCTGCTGTAGGAAGACTTACCTGTGGGTAAGACAACCAGTGCTAACTATGCAGTTAGAGATTATACTAATTTAGAAAAATGCCACTATTAGATTCTCCTCTATGTTCCATGACCTCATCAGCAACTCAACTCATAGGTGACTGTGCTTATAGAACCAGGATGAAGCTCCCCCACTGAGTGGACCTTAAGTGCAACTTCATAGATATTGATTACTGTCATGATCTCATTGCTACTATTGCACCTTTATGTACAGCTTGCTTTGCTGGTTATTACTGTGGTTTCTAAGTGTCATAGCTGGGTTGAACTATTAATGCCAACACTCAATTGGCAACGTGACAGTTATATACCACTTTTCCATACTATTAAAGCTTGTCCTCATGGAGTTGGGTTCTAGTCCCAATAGAGCTCTACTCATCCAAGTGTAAGTCCTATGTCAGAATCATGTGTGTCTTTAGCAATAGAGACTTACCTTAGATTTCTGTGAGGCAATTAAGGTCATCAACAAGAGCTTATAATGTATTCAGGGGGGCATGCATGTATTTTTGAGTGTGTGTGTAATTTTAGATAAACATGGCTCACAACATGCCAACACTCCTCAGAGACTGCCCAGCATTCCCCAAACATTAATTCCTTTTCCTTGTCACCATATTCTAGTCAAAAACTCTGATAGTGGACCCTGCTCTACCAAAGGCTTTACAGATACCTGGAACCTCAGAGGCTGATCTGGTACCCAGAACTCTGAAATCCCCTTATCTACCAGAAGCCTCGAGAATACTCAGAACCCCAGAATCTTATAGTCAGTCCTTGCATCACAAACCCCAGAGGTTACGCAGACCATCAAAACCACAACAGAGGTTCCTTATTGGTGCAGAAAACTTGTCAATCACTGGAACCACAGGATACTCAACCCAGAAGATGAGAGGAATTAGAAACAAAGGTCATTAAACACTATTCCAAAAGGATAAACTCAGAAATCAGCATCTAAAACTGTAATTATCACAAACCTAGTAGAGGCCAGCTTGAGAACACAATCAACAACAACTGCAGCAATATATTTACCAGCAGATGCCAGCTATCCTAATACAGCAATCCGCAAATAACTCAAAACAGCCAAAGCACACAAAAATGTGTAGGGGTGTGTGAGCACACACACACACACACACACACACACACACACACACACACACAGAGTAACACATACACAATCTCAAAACCAACTGAATGTAGATGACTGAGGTCATTAACAACAAAATTAATAACTTTTTAAAAGGAAATTCAGCAAAATATAAGCAAATAATCAGAGGAAATCATTAAATAACATAAAGATATCCAAGAAAACAGTGGGGAGAAATGAATAAATCTTTTAAGGAAAGTCTAAAAAGCAAAAAAAAAAAAAAAACAGTAAAAGAAATGAAAAAAAGAGTACAGGATTTAAATATGAAATAGAAACAATAAAAAAATGCAAAGTGTGGGAATCCGATAGATGGAAAAATCTAGATAAACAAACAGGGAATACAGACTCATGCATCATCAACAGAATACAAGAGATGAAATTTAGAATGTCAGACATAGAAGATAAGATATAAGATGCTGATACCTGTGTCAAAAAAATGTTGAAAATAAAGATTTTCTGACATAAAAGTCCAGCTCACATTACTATATGCAGCTAAACAATATCTATCAACAAATCCAGCCCTACAGAAAGCAAAGAAGGAAAACTTCATCCCAAGAATGCTAAGTACACTTATGAAAACAGAATACATAATCTCACACCAGCAAAATTAAAAGAAAAGAAACACTCACATGCAAACACACAAACATGCACACACACATACACACACACTACCACCACCAGCAGCAATAAAATAATAGGAAATAACAATGACTTGTCATTAGTCTTTCTGAATATGAATGAACTCAATAAAAAGGTCACCTATAAAAACGCACAGGCTAACAAAATGGTTTCAAAAACAAAATCCACCATCTGCTGCATACAGAAAATTAATCTTAACATCAAAGGCAGTTATTACCTCAGAGTAAATAAAGGATTGTACAAAAATTTTCCAACCAAGGGTTCCAAGAATCAAAGTGGAGTAGCCATTCTAATATCTAACAAAATAGACTTCTAATCAAAATTAATAAACAAAACCAAAGTATTTTCATAGGAAATAAAAATCCAACAAGATTACATCTCAATGCTGAACATCTTTGCCCAAAATGTAAATGCACTCACAATCATATAAAAAACAAACAAACAAACAAAAATATTACTAAGGCTTAAATCACACATCAACTCCACATAATAAATAATAGTCTGAGATTTAATAATTTTATTATAATCTGCTGGCCCGGCTTGTTACCTGGGTATCCTGTCCCTATAAAAGACAAGTCCCACTCACTCACAATCCTACTTGTTTGTGGTTTAAGACGGTGCTTAATTTGCAAGGCCTATATTGCTTCATCGTATTGATTTTTATTTCTTACAAAAATTTTGTTAAAAAATTATTGAAAATAACACAAATCTCACTTTTAACAACAATGACAACAAATTATATTAAATTGAGTAAAGAGATACCAGTAAAGATTAAAGGAAGATTGGACTTACACCAGTGAGCATATTCAATTTTTTTTTCTTTCTGTATTAGTCATGTCATGTGGTACTCGGGCCAAAAAGAAAGGTTTTTCTTTTCTTTTTTCTTTTTGTTAATCTTACTCTAAAATGCCTTTGTTGATATCATTTCCTGAGTAAGGACTAGTGTCTCAAGAGGCTGTGGTCCTTTAGGACCTCTCTAAATACCGTATGTACTCCTGTGTCTTATTTGCCTACCTCTGCCCTTATAGACTGTAGAATTCTGAAGAAAAGCTTATCTGTTCTTTACTTTTTTTATCCTGAAGGCCACAGGAAACTGTATAGCACTTTTAAATTTGTTTAAATGTTAGTTCATTTTAATATTCTAATAACACCTACTTGAATCATTATCAGCACATGCTTGGCCTGCAATGGTCATGTAAGATAGGGACAGATCATCAAAATCTCTTAAACTAGAAGCAAACTTTATTCCAGGAAACAATACCAAAACCAGAAAAAAAAAAAACTAAAACAAAAAAATTTGTATGGGGCACAAAATGCTTATCAGCTAGCTGAGGTTACAGCCAGAGATGGATTTTTTTTTTCAGAGATGGATTTTGTGAAGCTATGGCAAAGGCCAGTTTCTGAACCCACCTTTTTATAATAAGGGGCAACAAGCAATAGGTCTGAAGAAAGAAATTTTTATAAACCCATGGTAAAACTCAGATGCAGATTGCCCTGCTTTACAATCTTCATTAAAAGAGTTTTTCAGCTTATAGTTAATCTATTTTCTTCCTTGCTACTTTCAGGTAGTGTTTACTGAAGCCCTGTGCTCAGTAAACACTTTGATGCTACCAGTTTCACATAGCAAGTATAATGCATAACCCAGAGGTTAGGTATATGTATCCACTAAAGGTTAACTCAGATCATATCTGTAGGCTAACTCTCAGAGATTATTTGGGCCTGTAAATAGAACTATGGGTTGTAAAGCAGAGTAACCCACTATTAATAGTTAATCCTTAAAATGCTGAGAAAGCTGCTGACAGTCTGCTCTCATTCTCCTAGCCTTAAAACTTCATATTTCTTTATTTCTACATTCTTATTTCTGGAATCTACATTTTTATACTCTTATTCTTGACCATTCATTCAATACCATTTGTAATTTTCAATAGCAATTTTGTTATCATCCAAGGAATTGATATCATGCTACTGAAAAGTCCAGGAATAGAATATAGAAGTAAACGGTCCAGTCTGGGAATATATAAATGTAAAATTGCAAGCCCAAACATATTTTGGAAGAAAAAGCATGAAGATGTTAACCTTGAGCAAACACGATCTGCCTTAAAATAGACATCTTGGCAGTCACTGTATACAGAGGTAACTGTTTTACAATTGTCTCCTGCTTTCCATCTCCCAGATAGATAGGTACTGTGGATAAAAAATAGCTTCTAAATATTGCTTCTATTAGACCCTCTATTGGAGGAAGGGTACTTGTTAATTCACAGCTGCCCAGCTAGCTTAGACCTGAGATAATCACACAGAAATTTTATTAATTAAATCA